CGACTCAATGACACTTAACCACAACAAATGAGAATCAACTCTATGCCAGTGGGTGTACAGTTCTGGGAGACTTTAAAGAAGCTGCCTCATGCCAAGCTTAGTAAACTAATCAAGAGGTGAAGAGACTGCCATGTAAGGACACACTAAAAGATGAGTGTAGGAGTCTGGTAAGACAAAACCATGAGGCATATGGTTGTGGGGAACATAAAGTCTCTCACCCAAACCAAAGAACCAAGTTGATTTTTGTTAAGTGCTGTCGAGTTGGTTCTGACTCATAGCGACCTTGTATAGAGTTTCCAAGAAGTGACTGTTGAGTTTGAACCACCGACCTTGCAGTTCAAACCAACCTTGTGGTCCAGTGCTTACACTATAGGGTGTTGGGTGGAGGAGAGAAGGGACCACTTTATTTAGAGTATCAGTTACTCTAAATCAGAAATGTAGGCTAAACAAATAAACATAAAAGGTTAGAAAAGATTTACGTAAATGTATAAATAATGCTTCCATGGAAAATAATGATAGGAAAGCATGACTATAATAAGTATTTTTCTAAGTGATACTAATAGTCTATGAAACACTATACTTATTTAGTGCTGTTATGAAACATTAAAATACTTAATATCACTAAATCTAAAATAGTTAACATAGATGCTAGCTTGAACAATGTACTATTATTTACAATAAAAAGAAATTTTTAAGTGCTTCCGGTGTGCTAAGGAGTCCCTGGGAAGCGCAAACGGTTACATAGTCAACTAGTAGCCCAAACATTGGCCCCTCTAACCCACCAGGGATGCCTGGGAAGTACGGCTTGCTGGTCTGCTTTCACAGCCTCGAAAACCCTACGAAGCAGTTCTATTCTACACACATGGGGTTGCCATGAGCCAGAGCATGAGTGTGGGCTGTTGTTGCGTCAGTAAGTGCTATCGAGTCAGTTCTGACAAAGAGATTCTGTAGAGAGTTTCTGAGGAGCAGCTGGTGGGTTTGAACCACCGATGTTGTGGTTTGTGGTCCAGTGCTGTTATTCTACAGTGTCACACCAGGACTCCTGCACTAGGCCTTTATAAATATTGCATCTGATTCTTAGAACAGCACTGCAAGGTAGAAATGATCACTTTTATATTATAGATGAAGAAACTAAGCCTTGGAACAGCTGTTACTTGCCTAATGCCATAGAGCTAAGGAGTACTGATGTTGCGTTGTAGGATAAGCACTGGACTGCTAACCGCAGGGTCAGTGGTTCAAACCCTCACTCTTTAGTAACCCTGTACTATGAGTTGCTATGAGTTACAACAGACTTGACAGCACTTAATAACGACAACACAGAGCTAATGAGGGTAGAAATAGGATTTGAACACAGGTGTGTAGGCTCCAAAGTCCACATCCTTTCCACTCTGCCATGTCTTCTCCCATTGCTTGTCGTTGTTGTTGTTAAGTGCCATTGAGTCAGTTCCAACCCAAAGCGACCCTATATAGGGTTTCCAAGGAGCAACTGGTGAGGTTGAACTGCTGACGTTGCAGTTCAAACGTCTTTGCAGTCTGGGACATTAACCCACAGCGCCACACCAGTACTCCCATTGCTTAAGTGATGAAAAATCTCACTGCCATTGAGTCCATCAACTTGGAGATACTACAAGGCTGAGAAGAGCTGCCCTTACAGGGTCTCCAAGGCTGTAATCTTTACAGAAGCAGATTTCCACATCTTCCTCACATACAGTGGCTGATGGATATGAACTGTCAACCTTCTGGTTTGCAGTGGAGTGTTTAGTCTCTGCACCACACGGGTTCCTGGTGTGGGGTTAAAGATTATATAAAGCATTAGGTACTGGTAACAGGGAGTCCTGTTGTGGCACTGTGGGTTAATGTCCCAGACTGCAAAGACGTTTGAACTGCAAGGCTGGTGGTGCAAGCTCACCAGTTGCTCCTTGGAAAACTTTACAGGGTCAGAATTGACTCAACAGCATTTAACACAAACAACTGGAAATTATAAAACAACAAAAACTAAACATAAGTTTTTAAGAGGGCTGTAGGAATCTATCAGGAACCACTTGTGGGTGTTAAAGCATATGGTGGTACAATGGTTAAGCACTTGGGAGTTCTGGTGTGGCGCTGTGAGTTAATGCACCAGACTGCAAAGCCGATTGAACTACAAGCTCGGTCGTTCAAGTTCACCAGTCACCCTTGGAAGCCAAAGCAATAACATGGATCCTACGTTTACATACCCACTGTTCCTCTTTTGCCATAAAGCAGATCTTTTGGATCCAATGTTATTTGAGATTCCATGAAGACAAATCAGCTCTCAAATGTGGTACTGACACATCATATTTGGGCAGGAGCAGCAAACTCATACCCTGGTTATATATCAGCTTCAATAAGGGTAAATCTCTGGAGGGTGCACATGGTGAAACTCTCAGTTCCTCAGAAGAAAGGTCTGGCAATCTACTTCAGAAAAATCAGACGCTGAAAATACTACAGTGCACAGCTGGGGTCACCATGGGTAAGGACTGCCTGGCGCTCTGAAGCGGACAGCCCTCATACTACCTGCATAGACTGGGCAGGAAGTCCTCCTTTTCAACCAGTGTTTGACTTCTGAATGGATTCTTGTTGTTAGCTGCCCTCAACTCCTGCGGACTCCAGGCATAATGGGATGAAATGCTGCCCAGTCCTGCACCCCCCTCGTGATCAGCTGTGATTGGATCATTGTGATCCACAGGGCTTTCACTGATTTTCAGAAGCAGACTGGCGGGCGTTTTTCCCTAGTCCACCTTAGTCTGAAGCAACACGGGAACCTGTTCAGCATCGTAGCAACACACAAGTCTCCACTGAGACAGGTGGTGGTGCACACGAGGCACCCAAGCCAGGAATGGAAGCCAGGTCTCCTGCCAGAGGCAAGAACTCTACCAACGAACCAGCTCTGCTCACAAGGAATGCACACTGATGATCATGAGATGACAGACATCCCAGAGGGAGGCCTTCACTGCACTCTAGACTTTATACAGACCTCCAGGGATACTGGTGTCTGGCTACCGTGACTGAACGTTTGGATCACAGACTCAATAAATGGATCTTGATAAAAAGAGAGACCCAAAAAAATGTGGAGCAGCACTGTAAATTCTTACGGAATCCAGACTTACTGAATTTATTGACGCTGGAAATTGCCCCGAACATACATTGCCTTAAGAGCATCTCTAAACCTTGAACAGAAACTATCCAGTGAAGTTTTAAACCAAACAATAGCCTGTTGTTGTTGTTGTTAAGTGCTGTCGAGTCAGTTCCAACCCACAGTGACCCACAGGGTTTTTGAGGAACGGCTGGTGTGTCTGAACCACCAGCCTTGCTTAGCTCAATTAATAGAGAAAGTTTGCCTTGGGGAGAAAAAAGTAAACATAAGAGATTAAGAAGCAGTTAAAAGAGAGGATAGATGTTGAAGTTATTTATTTCCAAAACTCTTAAATATTGATGATCCAAGAGGGCCCAGGAGACACTCAATAAAACTGTAACACTGTGAGGGCTTTAGTTTTCTTTCCATTTCACCACTGCAAAAAAAACGGTCTGATATCTTCATTTACTTACAGCTCAGAGACTATGAAAACCTTACGTTCTTTCCTATTGTTTGATCAGAAGAGATTTGACTATTTAAGCACAGCAGATGTCTAAATATCAGCTTTAAAAATTACCTTTGTTCCAGTTTTGTAAATTTTATGATTTGACTAGAAAAGAAAATCGAGGCTGTGAAATGTTACCATTAGGGTTGGGAAGTGAGCTTAAGTGCAGTAACACTCTAAGCACCATCTCAGCATTTTTTAAAAAGTCCTAGAAGTGAAGTGAGCCTCCAAGTTTCATTACCACTGTTAGTCCAAATTCACCCCAAATGAATCACCTGTGTTATTGTTGACAACTAAAAACTCTTAACTAGGGCCTGCTGTTGTTGGGTGCCATGTGACAAAGGAGAATCGCCCCAAAGCGTTTTCTTGGCTGAAATCTTTTCAGAAGCAGATGGCCACACCCTTCTCTTGCAGAGCTACTGGGTGGGTTTACATTTGGAGAATCAATCATCTAGCCTTACCTTTCCTCTTCTTTGTTAAAAGTGTACAATTCAGTGGCATTTAATACTTTTAGAATGGTGTGTAATCACCACCTTCCATCACCCCAAAAAGAAACCCCGTGCCCGGTAAGCGATTTGTTCACATTCCCCCACTTCCACCTCCAATCCCTGACAACCATGAGTTTGCTTTCTGTCTGTATAGATTTACTACTTCTGAATTATTTCCTATAAGAGTACTCATACATTATGTGACTTTTTGTGACTGGCTTCTTTCACTCAGCATTATGGTTTAGAGGTCCATCCACGTTGTTGTTAAGTGCTGTCGAGTCAGTTCCAACTCACAGCGACCCTGCATAGGATTTCCCAGGACTGACTGATTGTTGTTGTTGTTGTTGTTAAGTACCGTGGAGTTGGTTCCAACTCATAGTGACCCTGTACAGGGTTTCTGGGCTGCAAATCTTTATGGAAGCAGAACTCCTCTTTTTTCTCCCGCAGAACCGCTGGTAGTTTCGAACTGCTGACCTTCAGGTTAGCAGCCCGATTCGTAACCACTACGCTACCAGAGCTCTTTCCATTAGCAGACCAGTATTTATCCTATAGAACTGCACCAGGACTCCATTGAAGCATGCATCAGAACTTCTTTCCTTTTTGATTCTGGCTCATGGTGGCTCCGTGTGTCAGAGTTGCTCTACAAGGTTTTCAAGACTTCGACCTTTCAAGTCACCAGGCCTATAGTCTGAGGGGGTTAGGAGTGAGTGTCATTCAGCAATTTTGGCTAGTTGTGGACTGCTTAACTTTTTGTGGTACCCAGGGACTCTCATTCCTTTTCAATGCCTCAGTAATATCACATTATATGGCTATGACACATAGTGACATCTGAATTTTTAGCAAACACCCGCAGATGATTTGGATGCTTTGTTGTCACTTGGCTATGTGATGACAAGAACAGATGCATACCTACCTTTTCTTCAAAGAATTTTTTCCTTAACTTAGCATCTTTGGGCGGTATTGTTTTCCTCAGGTTTTGGTACCACTTTCTAACAATATGGCCTCTCCAATAGGCTTGGATTCTAAAACACAGACATTTGAAAATAACTGAATCATGACTATTTGATTTTAACAATGATTCCAGTACTAATATAAGTCAGGACTATCTACAACAATGGGGAGAGTATGGTGACCAGGAGAAGAAATAGAATCCCAGGGTCTTTAAAACATGGGTTCTCATTAGCTTGATTTCTAAATCTATACCTCTAACTTGCAGTGGGTTGTTTTTTTATTTTCTTAATTAGGCACTGGAATCATGACGGGTTTGCTACAGCAATTCTTACCTTGTTGCACATTTGATTTTGAATAATCGTGCTCCCTCATGAATCACTCTGGTTTGATATTGGTTCTTTCTACAGAGAGGGCAGGTTTTTTTATTTGTGAACTTTTCAAAAGCCTGCAGGCATGCCTGAAGAAAAACATTTCACTTAAAATTTTATGAGTAATTACTTATAAACAACATTTTTACCCCTAATGTAATTACAGTGTTCTTTTCTCTAATAATTACGAGACTTAGTCCAATTTAGACTATGAAGTGGAGGTTTCATCAGATGTTAACGTCTTCCTCATGAAACCTGTTCCAAAAGCGATATTTTACAAGAATCTACATGCAGATACATCAAAAACTTCTGAAAATCAACTCGTGTAAAGGTAAACCATCTTTGTGTGTAAGACTAACATGCAGTTAAATCATATGAATTAAGCCATCTGTCACTTTGAAGTACATTATTAGCAACAATATGCTATACAAACATTTGTGGTTCTTTTGTCACATAAAATTCATGATTTTAAAAATAGGATGAATTGTGCTGTAGCCTAAAGTCATGTTTCTAACCATAAATGGTGCTTTGGATAAAATAAATGGTACATTTTAGGAGACTAGGATGGATTTCTGTAAGTTATAAGCGTGCTCTGCTGCATGCTTTAGGGTCGGAGGTAAAACAGGATTTACTCACTCTGTGAAAGACATGGGAACATGAAAGCAGCACCTGTTCATGAGAAAAACAAGGAAAAGATGTTTGAAGTTTAAATTAGTTAAAAAGAGAAGTAATAAATGCATTAATTAAAAGAACAATTCTAGATTCTTAAAAGGTAAGCTGTGTTGTTTGTTGTGAAAAATTAAGAGAGTTGATGAATGTCCTTGAGGTTTCTATTTGTGCATAAGCTTTGTATTATATATAGTATATAATGTAAACAAGAAACACTAGATTTACAGTAGTCTCAAACATCAAATAAACACATGAAGTTTGATATAAAGCCATTAAAATAACTGCACCTTTACAAATGGAAACAATTAAGAAACAGAAATATTTCCTAGGTAGAGAATAAGACAGAAGGCAAACTGGAGGAGGGAGAAGACGGAAAGATTTGGGACAGTGAGGGATGTGGGGACAGGGAGCGAAGGACACAGGGAAATGTGAATCTTTTTTTATGGCTTTGTTCAATCAAATTACACTTAATTTTTTAAAAACAGACAAACAAATTAAGATACAATTCTGACACTTTAAAATTTAAATAGCATAGATGATGAAGGAATCATTTTTGGTTTTTAAATGCAGAGGGATTGTGCACAAGAAAACTTCACCTTTCTGTGACCCAAAGTCCCCACCAAATAGTGATATTCTGGGCTATGACAAAAGACAACAGCTCAGACTGAATGAAAGAAAAGATAGTTGGTTTTTAGTGGAAGGAAGAACCAAGTAAGGGGTGAAACCGGAACAGCCAGAATGTGCTATTGAGCTGGCAAACACAAAGGGCCTATGGCTAGCAGCCAGCTGAAGGGAAAAGCTTTCAGCTAACACTGCTTTCTTCCTTCCCTCAAGAGAAGAGGGGTAAGGAAACTTTCTGCATTTACTAAGGGGTGGGGGTGGACAAAGGCATTTTTCTCAAGAATCTTACTTTAATGAGTGCATTCTTTAACACTCTCTGATTAGGACTGAAATCTCAGATCTACCTAAGCAGCCTGATTTTGGTAACTCTTCCCAGTTTTAAAACCTGCTTTCATAAAGCCATGCTTTTTTGTTTTTAATGGGAAGAAAGGAAGAAATGTTAGAATGAAAACATCAATGACAAAGTTCTAAAAACCTCTTTTTGACTTATTGCTGACAAGAAGTATAAATTGGGTAAATTCAGTAAGAGGAATCTTTTATTATTGCCATTTAAACCAAGCAATCTTTTGATTACTCATTCATTCTTTATGACCTTCCAAAGCATTTTATTAAAAACAGCTATTTGTCAATCTATATTGAATACTATTATATATTCTGTATATCTAAAAATATCCATTGTTGTTGGTAGGTACCATTGAGTGAGTTCCGATTCATAGTAACCCTGTATGGGGTTTTCGAGGAGCAGCTGCTGAATTTGCATCGCTGACCTTGTGGTTCAAACCATTCTTGTGGTGGAGTGCTTATACTAAAGGACCATACCAGGACTCCGGCCGTCACATTGTTGTTGTTGTGAAATGCTGTTGAGTCGATTACGACCCATAGCGACCCTGTACAGGGTTTCCAAGGAGCAGCTGGTGAGCTTGAACCATTGACCTAGCAGTTCAAACGACTTTTCAGTCTGACGCATCACGTTGTTGTTGTTGTTGTTAAGTGCCATCGAGTCGGGTCCGACCCATAGCGACCCTGTACAGGGTTTCCGAGGCTATGAATCTTTACGGGAG